TCTGACCTCGGTCTGCTAGATCTCCAGAAGTTCCTCTACAGGGCAGAGCCACCAACTTAATCTCCCTAGTGCCCCCAAATATTCACCACTTCCCACCATCCGTCATCTTGTGGTTCTCCCTGTGTAAATCATTTTGTGATATACTATAGATGTGAATTTGCAGGGCAACTTCATTTATTTATGCATTTCTTTCACTGGTGGTTCTTTCTATGCTGTTCAGAGTTTGTTGGTATTTCTTCATGTTTTATCAAACCTATGAGGTCATTCATTAAAAATGTAAGGTGTACTTTCTGAGTACTTAATTTGTGAAATGAGAAGTTTCCTCATGCTGCTGGATGATACTGCCTCATTATCCTGCCCTTGAAGTATTCTCATAATTTCCACTAGAGAAGATTACATTATGTTCATGTGTATTACAATCAGGTATTTATATATCGCTCATGTCCATCTCTTGTCTGAACACCAAAAGTGTTTGAACAGTTGACTTTGCTGGTGTATCTTATTATGCAGGCTGAGGAGAAATCATCTATAGTTGACTCACGCACAAGAACGGCAGTCATATCTTTGAGTCTGGTTTTGTTTGTAGTGTCAGTTGTTGTCTAACAGCAACGGGAGGCAGTGTCAATGTGAGTAAGTGTCATGATAGTGAGATGAAAAAGAATAAAGTGTGTTTATATAGTTCTGATCCTGAGAAGATGCAACTATATTGTGACATTGCACTAAATAAAAAAATCTGTACGATGTAAAGATTCTATACCATTAAAGAGGCACTCCAGTCAAAATGAAAAATGTAACTGCTGCTACATCTGCTGTAAACATGTTGATTCTCAGCCTACAGTAGTTTGTAAAGTGAGATTTTCTGGTTTAAAGATGAGAAAACCCCCCTTTTGATTATGTATTTTGAAAGCTGGAGGTGCTTTTCAGAAACTACAAGCACTTTGGGGGAGATACTTTATATCTTTTTTTTGTTTGTTTGTTTTTTTTGCTAGCTGGCTAATTTCCAGTGGTTGGATGACTTATTTGTGGAGTGCATGCTGGATATTGTAGTGAGAGAACATTATGAGGCTGAGGGATGCAACTCTGTGCCACAGAATTCTGCATAATATGGCAAATAACATGTTATAGCATTCACCACTGTTACAAGAGACAAAGCCTTTGCACAAGTTGTGGTGCTTTATTATCTGACTGTTGTCAGCCACAGCCATGCCGAACATAAGCAGAGTTTTCTCTAACAGCTCACCCTCTGCTCAGCTCTTGTCTCACTCTCTCAGCTCTCGGTTCTTGTCTCACACTCAGTTGTTCCTGCTTCCACACATATGCCCCCAGCTGACTATCCCCACCTTCACAATAAGAGTCCCATAAAAGTGAATAAATAAAAAAAGAAGTAATAACCTAAAACTTACATGCCAAAACGTTTCTTGAACAATATTAGATGCTAGATGTAGGCCAGAATGTCCCTTAAATGAACCTTTACTTTAAGGAGTGTATATTAAAAGAAATGATCTCATATCACTGTGAAAGTTTTTAAAAGAGTAGAAATGGTTATATGGTCATTGCCCTGAATAGTCCCCAATATTGTGCCACACACTACCAAATTAGCAAGGGTTTAACAATTTTTTGCACTACCAGTTTGGAAGCCTGTTCAGTTCATTTGAACTGTGTTGTGAAGATCAAATGAACATTCCAGCAGAAGCCACTTCTCAGAATAGTCCAGGACAACAGGATTCATCCTTCAATGGCGAATAAGAGTGTGTGAATGATGCATCGCGTCTACCGGCGTTTTCCACGGTGGCTTGGATCAGATGACACTGGAGGAGTGAGGCACAGTGCCTGTGTCAAAGCAAAGCGTGCCAACAGAAACCCAACTCCTCTACTCTGCCTCCGAGTGCCAAGAATAAACCTGAATAAAGTTCACAGCACCCTCAGAGTGCTTTGATATCAAATAAAGGGTAATATAACCGCAGGAGTAGCGTATTTGCCTAGTCATTTAGTGCTAACATTTGATGTGTTTAGATGTGTTTGTGATGGCGCTGTCATCAACCGTGAAATGTCAGGTTGGTTTTCTCAGACCGTGCGACAGCCTAGGGGCACCTGCTGAAAAGAGTATAAAACTGCAGCGTATCATCAGAGGCTAATAATTTACCTGTCAGAGTAAAACGTCTACATTCTGAGCCTACTTTTGCAGTTTATGAAACATAGCATGGGAAAGTGAATGGTATTTCAGTTCCTACTAAATACAGTCTTCTTTTTTAGAGGTCTCTGGAGACTCTCTGTTTGAGTATCAGGACTAAAAGCTACTCAACTCAAAGACCAGTGGGGGGAGCTACAGAATAAATCTCTCTCTCTCTCTCTCTCTTCTCTCTCTCTCTCTCTCTCTCTCTCTCTCTCTCTCTCCCCGAGTGCACTGACAGCCTCTTTTCTTCTACCGCTAATGTCTGCTGTCTGTGACTCGTGCTCTAGCTGGTGGACTGATTCAAGTGTTCTTCCCAAGATTGCATGTTACTCAGCTTTTTTCTGAGCCAGAAAGCAGTAAAGGAAACTTCTGTCCATTAGAGGCTTTCAGAGGTTATGTTTCTCGACTGCGGGTAAGTGAGGCTTTGAACTCACTTACTGGGTTTTTCAGCACATTGAAAGGAGGATGAGACTCCAAATGGAGAGCTCATCTCACCTGAAGGCCTATGGTCTTCATGGAGGCACCTGTACAAAGCCTCTCTCCCTACACCTTCTGTATACCTCCAGTGGAGGATCTTCCACAATGTTACACCTATAATGGTTTGGTATTAGAAGTTGACCCTACTATTTCTCCAGTTTGGCTTTTGCCAAAACCCTGATACTGTTTTTCATGCTTTCTCTGACTGTTCTAGGTTGGTTCCCCTTTTTTAGTTCAGGTTGAGTTAAACATTCTGTTTCAGCTGTAGATACTCCAAGGCCCAGTGCTCTATATGTGTTTTGGTCTGTTTTTTTAGTGAAAAAGCCAGAATTAGCAGTTTGGAAATCCATCAGATTGGTGTTTGAAGGGGAGGACATGGATGAGTTGAAATTCTTCCAAGCTTTATTGAATCACATATAAAGGCTGACTTTGTTTTCTATCAAAATATGTGTAATATTTGTGTTTTTCAGAAAACATGGTGTGTTGATAGTATGTTTTTACCTCTGTATTTGTTTCTCACTCTGTTTCTCTTTCTTTCTCTATTTTCTATCCCTCTCTCTTTCTATCTTGTCCTACATTCAGTTCACTTCAGTTCAGAGTTATGCTCATATTTAGTTACACTATTGCCATACCATCACTGAAATAATAAGAATAAAAACATTTTTCAAAACTTTTGCTCATTTCTCACCCGTAAAGGATGTTCATGTTTGAGAAACATCTCCTGTTCTCGAACAGATTCCCCCAAATCTTTCATAACCTGTCTTGCTCGTGCCAAGAGGGTGCTCTCACTTCAAAGAAATGCACAAAATAACTCAGAACAGTGCCCTCAGCAGTGAGCGGAGATGAATAAACTGAAGTGAGGAATAATGAGTGGGGCCTAATGGGTTTTAATGGAGAGTAACACAGAGAGCTGAATATGTGAATCCAGCGCAGGTGATGGAGGGAGTGAGGGTGTGACTCCGTCAGGGGCTTAGCTTTGGGACACACTGTGTAAACAATGTGTGAAGGTGGAGAGATGGAGGTTAAACTGTGCTGATATGTGTGCGGAGTGAGAGACAGAGCTGCTGTCGGGTGGTGCGGTTAGAACTGTTATGTAAGGCCAAAAATGTTTCAACATGATCATGTACAAACAGCAATCGATCATCAGATCTGTTGATGACGCTGTTGGCCCCGCGTGCAGAAACACGGCCATGTGTGGGACCGTTCGATGTTGTTTTCATGTGTGTCCACATCAGATGCTGTTATTTGGTGGCTGGTGCACTCGGCGCTGCAGACTCTGTGACTCCTTGCTCTCTTTATCTCCTGGAGCAGGGTGTGTGAGACAGGCTGGGTGGCGCTTTGCCAGGTGTGCGTGCATGTGTGTGTGTGCGTGTGTGTGCATGCATTTCTGTACATGTTTGGGCTAGTCTGTCTGTCTGTGTGTCTGTCTGTCTGTATGTCTGGGCAATTTTGAGTCTTACAACTCTTCCAAAGCAGAGATGGACAAAACCCACCTTTCCAGTCAATCTCTCTCTCTCTCTCTGACGATAAGGGTGGATTTGTAGTATAAAGGAGGCAGTTTCTGGTGTGTTTAGATGGTTCTTGTTTTGTTAATGGTTTAATTTGGAGAAAAAAAGTTTTTTGGTTTTTGTTTTGGGTATTCTATATTAAATAAAGGAGCTTGAAAGGCAAGTCTCTATCTCTCTCTTTTTTCTTTCTCAAACTCTCTCTTTCTCTCCCTCCCTCTCTTTCTCCCTAACTCTTTCTCTCTCTCTGTCTCTCTCCCTCCCTTTTCCCTCTCTTTCTCTCTGGACATCCATATCTGTTTCTTTTTTTCTCAAACTGTCACCCTCTCTCTTTCAGTCTCTCCCTTTTTCACCAACTCTTTCTCTCTCCCCCCTTCTCTTTCTCCCTAACTCTTTTTCTCTCTCTGTCTCTTTCCCTCCCTTTTCCCTCTCTCTTTCTCTCTGGACATCCATGCTGTCTTTCACTGATACGTGGTTATCAGTCTTTAACTAGTATCATCACATGTCAAATGCCCCGGCCCCCGTCCACAAATAAAACAGACATAATATGTTCTAATAAAATTATGACACTAATTAATCGTTCAAGCTGCTCACTTACTGTGCAACAAATGTCACTGCAGTCAAAACAGTCTCTCTCTTTTCTCTCTGTTTCTTTCATAATTGTCATCAGAGGCCATCTCAGGCTGAAGTAATTGAAAAAGGATCAGTGTGTTTTAGTCTGCGCTGTCTGAATTAAAAAAGTCCTGTGTGTATAATATTGTCAACGTGTCATTTTAAAGTAGTGTACTCTAAATTAGACTTTGAGGCGTGTAATTACAGGCTGGGGTAAAAGTGTGTAGCTGCAGAGGGCGGGAGGGTGGCTGGAGGAGGAAAAGTCCTGCCCTAGCTGAAAGATTTCCTGTCTCGGGCTGCAGTGGCTCAGCCCACAGAGCACTGAGCTTTTTTCCCTCAGAGAGAGAGAGAGACAGAAAGAGAGCAGCTCACTTCGGACAGCAAACACCGCGCTTGGCTTTAAATTAATGAAAGGCACGGAGAGACACAACTTCACTCATGGAGCCGTATCGGTCTTACGTGCTGTGGTGGGCCGCTTTCTTCGTGTCCGCAGCTGGAGTCGGTGAGTCCGTTTCTCTGACACTTCCAGCGCTCCGGCGCTCTGCTCACACACTCAGCCTGCGAGGAGAGAGAGAGAGAGAGAGAGCGAGCAGGCTTGGTCAGCAGGAGTGAGCGCTACTGCAGTTAAACAGAGACTCGAGGAGAGAGCAAAGTAGCCAGAAAGAAACAACTTCAGCGTTTTAAAAAGTACCAGGTCAAAAAACAACGTAAGCACTGAGTGGCGTGTTGAACTTCAGTGGAACTTCTCACTACATCCAGCATCTGTCTGTCAGCCTGGAGACTGAAGTCTCTGGAGTCTGTGAAGCGCTTTTTACTATTTTTTTATCCTTTTCGTATAAAATGAAAAGCTAAATTTTGAACGAACAGAATATGATGGCGTTAACTAATAGTTGAACGGTTTAGAGCATGTTTTCCCTCATAAATACACCTCAGTTTAAGTCCTGTCGTTTAAAACGGTCAGAAAGGTACAGCCTGCTGACCTGCTAACTGCAGTAGTCACTCTCCACCTCTGTGTGCGGTAGCTCTGTTTAGTACAGCAGAGCAGTAAACCAGTTTGCTGCTAACACTTTTTAGAAACAGGTGTTGTTTTACTGTCTGCAGCGGATAATGTCTTACAGTGGACGTGTTTCAGAGTTGGATACTACGCCTTTCTTTCCTCTGTAGTTCGTATTAGAGCCCGAAAAGTTACGCAACATGCGTAATAAATCACATATTTCCACAGGTGCTTCATTGTAATGGCGTTAGTGCTGTGTTGCAGCTACTTGCTGTGGGCTTGAGATTGTTTATAAGTGGAGCTGATGGAGCATGCTAGGCTAATAATAAAAACCTAGTGCGTTTCCTCACAGATATTTACGTTTTCTGTTCTCTTCTGGTCCTTCTTTTCGACTGGAAGGCCTTAAGGATTTTGACTTGGTTTTGTTCTCATCTTTAAGCATCTTTGACAACTAGTTTTCCCCCATTTTTGTATATCCCAGCTATTACACTGCCTTCAGATGAGGTTCCGGATCAGCTCATTTGCACCATTTGTCTAGATTTTATTATTTTCCCTGAGGTCCTCGTATAATGTGGTTTATTGTACCAAAACATCATAATTCTTTATACATTACCATTTTCTAACCTCTCTTTGTCTTTTAGTATAAACTGCCTTTAAGGGCTGCTGTATGTAAATGACCTTTGTTCTTATTGGCTGCCCTGTATTATGCCTCTTTCAAAAAGCGGCCTGAGCTGAAGCATTCCTTATAACTACACTGTGAATGGAAGGAACTAAACTACTGTAGGCTGGATATGTGGATATGTATGTGTGTTGGTTTTTGTGACATCACAAAAACATGAAACTCAAAATAGGCCATTTTTGCAGTTTCTGTATTTAGGCTGTGTGGACCTGGGGAGTGCTATAGTAAATCAAACTCTTTTATTTAAAAAAAAAGTAAGGAAAATTCAGTTTTCCATTATATGAGGCATTTAAAGCACACTGAAATGTATAAAGAGAAGTGCTGTGTGTTTCTATGCAAGGGAGTTAGCAAAACTTTCTTTGTCCCTGTCCTGGGTTTAGTGGGTGTTTTTGGTACTGTGGATCTGAGGAGGGCAACATTTCGGCTCCAGCCAGACACCCCTTCCTTCTTTCAAACGGTGTGAGCTGTTTGTTTATTCTCCTCTCCCTTGTCATTAATTTCAGTTCTTCACCCCATGATTACAGGTGAGTTAGGCGCTAATTATATCAAATGAGGCCCTCCCTGCCTCGGCTCCCTTCTTAAATAGCAACCTTCCTGTGATAGACAAGGCTGATGGGTCCCCTTTGGCCTACAGTGCTCGGAGACGCCATGTTTTCTGTTATGGTGTGTTTATTACAAAGCATTCTGTATGATTTGGTGTAGCCATTAATGCACCTGAATGGATTCTCAGGAATTCTAAGCTTTGTAAACACTTGGTAAGGCAAAGTCGTGGACCAAAGAAAATACCTATGCATCCACTTCTAAAAAAGTGTAAAATATTATCTTAATCGTTAAATAGTTCTGATATACATAAGAAAGTGTTCCATTTATGTTTACACATGTTTTCCGTTATTTTTAAAACAAGCAGATTGTTAATGTTCAGTAATTTGTCAGGTGGGAATCAAAGCTTTAGCTGTCAAAAGCTATTTCAACACTTTGCTTTCCAGATGTCACTCTCCCTTGACTAACTGGTCAAGCTGCCAAGATCTGTAGGCTTTATTAACAAAGCATCACTCAAAAAAAGGAACCCAGGGGATTGTTTGACTTACAAAATGAAAATGTGTCAATATTATTTGCAATTGCACTTTACACTGAGGTAACAAAGGCACCCTTTTCCATTCAGTCAGATCTACTCTGTTTGATGAGAAATGGAAACGTGTTGTGTAATTAAGTTCATGCAACGATTTATTTGTGCCCAAGCGCAGCAATTTGTGCCCAAGTGTAGCAATGCCCTTGTTTGCTTTAGTCGGTACATATAGTACATTACATCAGAGAGCCTTTGGCTGTGGGCGTAATGCCTTCCGTTGACTTACTGCCATTTGCTTTACCTGTTTGCTCCCATTCCACCTTCAGCACTTACCATTTAGAGCTTGGACACACAAAAACACACAGTCATGCAGTCTAGAATCACACAGACATTTTTAGGTCTCTGGTTGAGGCCCTTCTCCCTGCCTATGGTAGTAGGACCTTACCAGTGTCATTTATTTTTCTGTATGTCTGTCTGTCTGACAGCACTGATGTTGATAAAGCATGCGTTTCTCAGAGATAACGTGCCCCACTATTCCTGTCCCCTGGTTTGACCTTTGCAGTGATGGGGCAGTGTCCACTCCCTCCAGACTTATCAGCAGCTCTGCACAGCTCGTCTGAACTGAGCTTTTACAACAGCACAGCAACCGCTGCGTCAGCCGCCAAGCTCTTCAAGACTTTAAAGACACGATCAAAGTGGAAAGCATATCCGCTGTGGACCAGTATCTTTTCAGTTATACCATAAATAAAGTACTACCCTTTGAGTCTCTGGTGCCTTGAAAAACCATATCTACACCTGCTGAATGTCTAAAGAAAACTGAAGGCCACTGGGCTGCTTTACTACGCTCGCCTGCAAGGCGATTAGGAGTGATGAACTCAAGTGAAAGGATTTTTAGTGCAGGCAGCAGAGCAGCGGTTGCAGGCTGAAAGAGCTCTTTTGTAGGCCTTTAGAGCAGCATAACCAGGCTAGTTTAGAAGGGGGTGTGAGTCTGAGCCCATGTTTACTCTTGCCTCTCTGGGCCTCTGGGTGCAGAGCTGAGGAACAGCTATTTAGGGATGAGAAGAGGGGTCGCATAACCTCAAAGTGGCTCGATCTGATTTGACCATATTAGTCTTCCTCCCCTCGTGGCGGGCGCAATCCCTTCTTGGCTTGCTTCACTGAACCAGAGACTTGGAGAGCAGCTCACCCAGTCCATCCACACACTCTTCCAGCAAAGACCAACACAAAGGAATGAGGGGAGATAACTTAAATGATACCTGAGGGCTGTTGTCACCCTGCATATTGTGGGAGCGTGCTTGTTGAAGTCAAACCAGACACAGTCCAGTCATGATCTAGTGTAGGGCTGTAAAGTGCCTCTGAAGGTGACATTTAATTACAATGATTTTGGAATGTTAGAATCGATTATAGTCTATTATAATAATATTCACCAAAATATATGCTAATTTTTTGGCCAAAATGAAAAGTTCAAGCAGAATTATGCTACTGTTTTTTTTTTAATTATTAACAGTTGTCCCATTCACGTTTGTTCATTTAGTGTATTTTTAATAACAATTATGAATTGTTGCAAAATATTCGCCTTGAATAATGGTGAAATTTGGCATTTCATGATGCGCTGAATCGTTTCCTAAAGAATCTAATCGAATCCTTATGAAGTTGGAGATTTACACTTGTAGTACAGAGCATTGCTAACTTTCTGCAATGGCAGTAAAAGTTGTCCCACTTTATTATTCTAGCTGTGGAAAGGAAGCCACATTTCCGTCCTGTCTGTTCTTCCTTCCTGGTCCAGGTCACCTGGTCCATCCTTAAGTGGGAGGAGTGGAGGGGATGCATGAAAGGAAGAGGGACAGAGAGGGACAACAGAATGATCTTTCTACAATCTAAAGTGTTCTCTTTAAAGTTTACAGTGTTTTTGTCATCATATCTATGAAACTAATATCTAATGAGATTAGTTGTTACCAGTCAAGAAGAAACTTTTCAGATACTTGACAGGAGTCTATTTATCCACTAGATCTTGTATATATGGAAAATGTATAGACATGATCCCTGGCCTATAGGTAGGGTGTATGTTGCAAGCTCAGATGAAGAACAGGAACGTGTGGGTATGTTCAGTCTGGGTTGCTAAATTAACAGTAACATGGCTTTAGAGAAGAAATTGCACTGGTTCTGATTTTGATGCACTGAAAGCTCTTCCAGATTTTTGGAACAAGCATGGCCAGGATGGGAGGGTTCAGCAGTGATCTTGTTGACACCCTGAATTTACCCTGAAGCTGTGCAGATCTTCAGTGGGTGAAAGGTCCCCTCCAATGGCTTTCTCAGTGGATATTTGCGGGGCCAAACCTGACATCATAGAGGATGTTATGATGCTTGTAATGGCAGTAATGGCTTTATTGGATTATACTAGAATGTTGTTGCTGTCATTTCAAAATCTCATAACTGCAAGAGCATTTCGTAACACCAACTGCTCTTTATCTTGTATGAACACAATATTTCATCAATAATGGACCAATAAATATGATTAAAATGACTTAGAATAAAATTTAGTTGCATTAACATACATGAAAGTTAAGAAAGTTTTTGCTTCTCTTGTAAAGTTACCATTTTTGATATATGTTTTGTTGCAGCACTGACGAAATGTTGGTGATGGGTGATTGAACTTTATTAGTTGTCAGTTAATTGTAATTTCGTGTTGTTGGATTCAGTTTTTGAACAGAAAAAAGATGCCGGTCACATTGTGTAGAATTTTCACAGTAAATGTTGCATTAGAAATGCTCCAAAATTGCTTGGACGAAAATCTCTATCCATTAACTGGATTAAAAGTAAAGAACTTACTCATTTAAAGATTCTTTTTTTTACGTTTGACAGTGGGTTATAGCACTTCATATCAGTATTGAGGGCTAATGATCCTGGACATTAGTGGTTTTCATCCTGTGTGTTTGATATTCCTTTTCTATTCTGGATTTGCCTTGATGCCTTATCACTTACAAACAAATATATTTTTTTGTTTTTTTTACAAGCTGCTAATTTACTATGCTGGTTACACTGGTCATATATCCTATTACATACATTGGACCCAATTTCTTGTGACATTTTTGCCCAACTGCTTTCCTCTTCAGCCAGAAGCAGGGTAAGCCTTTTATCTGAGCAGAGGAAGGCTTTTATCAGGGGAGGCATGCTTATTACACAAGCTGACAGCTGCTCTAGAGGGCTACATTACACTGTTTAATGACTGTATGTGCCCCCCACACACAAATATGAGCGCACACACACAACAGAGCGGTCAGCTGTTGGTTCTGTCTTGATTATTCCTGGGTGTGTGCGGCATTTATTCATGGCAAAGAAACTATTCACACCAGATTAAAGATTGCTTTCTGCCTCTTATTCACACTTGACTCAAAGTGCTTCATTCTGTATAATTGCAGCACCAATGGAATTTGTAAGAGCTAATTTGTGGTCATCTAGCACAACATTAATGCAGAGGGAAATTGTTGTAAGTGTGTGCTTAGTGTAGAGGTGGGTAGTGTGATATTTATTGTTATAGTAATAAATTGCATCACAGTGTCACAGTATGCTTTTCTGAGTATACTGTGGTTGTTATCAGTACTTAAAGAACACTGACCAACTGCATGTTTCACTACAAAATAGAATGGGATTAGTCGTATTTAAATGGTTTTAGTGCAGTATGTAGAGCAAAAAGGAAAATCATGATCATTAATAGTTAATAGTTTGGACATTATTTTTTACATGTGGTACTTTTGTCTCTTCCAAGTTATCAAACCTCAGAAACACTAAACATTATGATACTTATCATGTGTCGTGAAAACGTCTTTAAGTACTGTGATGTTATACTTTTGGCATTTCGCCCATCCCTAGCATAGGGCATGGCTGCATTTGGGGTACATTCTCAAAAATAAAGCTTCCCAAAAGGGTTCCTTTGAGTGATGCCATGGAAATAACCACTTCTGGTGCACTAAATATAATTTTAATGAATGGTTCTTTAAAGAACCAATTTTGTAAATGCAATAACAGTATGAAGAACCTTTTTTAAAGTTTAAAGACCATAGTTAATAAAGTGTGGGCCCTTAGTTCCTTAAGGTATAAGGAGTTAAAGGTTGTTCCAAACCATGAACCATTTGTGAACCTTCATTTTTTAGAGTGCAGTGCATGAGGGAACTAGTAGTGGCTCTACAGAGGAAAACAGGTCTGAACAGGTCAGAGAGAGAAGATGGCCCAGGAGATCAGCATGCAAGATCATACTGATCGCTCCAACAGCTAACACACCACAATGCACCTCCACAGACTTCCCTTCTCCTACATTCTCATGTGCTGCTCACTGAACATGGGGAAGAGTGTCCTGAATGTAAAATAATGCCACACAGGTTCTTAATCCAGACTCCTAGGACCACCAGACCACGATTTTGTTCAGTTCTGACTCACAGCAAATTTAAAGGTGGTAATTAAGGGCTCCAGAGTGCTAATTACCTGGCTGAGGCATGTTGGGAGCTGGAACAGTACGAAAATGTGGACTGGAATCAGAACACGACTTAATTATACTGTTTATTTTCACTCAGCATCTTTTTGGCAGTGGTGGAAGAAACAAAGGCTATTTACCTCCACCAGCTGATACTGTGGTACAACAGACTGTTACCTTTATTAATGCCCATCCTCAGCTTGGATTACCTGGAGACCTTGATGTATTGTTTTTTCTATGCTGTGTTGTAGGTGGGATGGTTCCTGGCCTGTTTAAACTGATGAACCTGTGTAAGTTCTGTGATGAAGAGCCCTCCTCCTGTAATGGCACTGGCACCTGCCAGGCCAACTGCAGTATCACCTCAATCTGTGAACACCCAGATGAGGTCTGTGTGGCAGTCTGGTACGTCAAAGCTCTCTTTTTTCTTTACCACAAGGTATAAAAACTGAAAAGTCATTGTCACTCAGCCAAGGCGTTCGCTGGGGTGTCGGTGAAATAGGATGGCGAATTCAGGCCTCATTAAATGGGCCAGCCTGCCTCTCCCAGCATCTCTAAACTGTTAGAGCTACAGATATTTAGTTGACAGAGGGCTGTCAAAAACTAATAAAGGGTCAAATCTCTCTGTTGTTATGTGTCACATTGTGTTCAGGAATTTCGCCAAGCAGTAGTTAAGGGAGAAATTGATTATGCTAGCATTTCCTTTTACTGCCTTTACAGAAATTCATTTAAACTATCGCAAGGCACATTTTTCAGCTACTCCTTATTTTTGCTGTATTGAAAAATGTGTAGAATCGAGACACCACTGCATTGTATCGAGCTGAATATTAAATTTTGTGTATCATCCCATATGCAAAGAAAGTATATGTCCACATAATTTTAATATGTGTCAAGCTAGCAAAATATATTACCACACATGTTTAACATACTTTTTTCATATTGGTTTAAATCACTGCAGATTAGCTTTGTCTAAATAGAGAGTTTAAATAACTATTTACTATTGCTAATTACTATTAAATCACTACTTGCCTCAAATCATGTTGGGTTGTTAAATCACTAATGCTGATTGATGGGTTACAAACTTTCAGTACTTCTTAGCCACATTAGCCTCATAGAACCAGTGCAGAAGTAAAGAAGTAAACCTCAGACACCAACATGTCATGTGACGTGATACATGTAGAGTAAGGGGAAAATCTTATGAAACTGATTTTTCCCCAAACTTTCTCTTTAAATCAGTGACGCAATAAAGTTGTTTACTTCCCGTTAATGTGTCATTTTGTTTCTGAGAAGTTATAACTGAATTAATGTTGGAGAGGTACTCAGAGTCTGATGGGTTTATTGTGTTTGTGCAGATGTGGAAACATTGTAGACTGACTGTGTTTATACTGAGTACCTCCCTCTTTATATAAGCCCTTTAATCATCTTGTGTGTGCATGCTCGGATGTGTCCCATTCCTTCAGGAGGAAGAATGAGGCCAACCAAACAGTTGAGACAGTGTGTCACCTCCCGTCCAAGCCTCTGCACGGCATTCGTCTGGAAAACTATAACAGAACCACGTGTGAGATGAAGGAGTATAAGACGGACAGCGGTCAGCTCTACATCTGCTCATGCATGGAAGAAGAGTGCAACGAAATCCTGAATTTCCCTCACAGTGAGCTCCACCTTCATTTTTCTGTTTTCTTCATTCTCTTAGCCCAGCTACACTGCAAGAAATGATAGGAGTGTCTTAAAGGGGAATTTCACCAAATTTTCAAAAGTTGTAAGATTGTTTTGTTTAAAATTGAAAAATAACATTATTGAGTCAGGAGAAATAAAAGAAGTCGGATTTTGCAGAAGTTTTTCGGACCACATCATAGGTCTTTACATATTAATGTCACACACACAGGTTCAGAAGATCCAGCTTGATGCTTAGGTCTCAAATGCAATGTCAACATTATATTGATTGAAGACATACTGACAATAGTAGATAATTCACTTACATCCTCAGAAAACTCGTCCTTCACCAAATTTGATAGTAATTTTCATATTGCAAAACCTTGTTGCTATCACAAACACTGTAAAGAAAATCTGGTAAAATTCTCTGCAGATCCAACATTTCACATCAAACCACACTGGCTGACTTTGTTTACATCTCAGTGATTAAATTATTCTGAAATTTTGAATCTGTGAAATCTTAATTAATCTAATATTTCTCATTATGTGGTTATACATAATTTTGTCGAGTGAAATTAATTTACTGCATTGGCAAGTTATACTTCACAGTGCATTAGGACAAGTTATTTGTAAGATTACTTTACATGAGTTAAATTGTCTAGAAAGAGCTTGAATAACCTTAGAATATTCAGGGATATATGGCCTACATGTAATATGCTCTCACTAAGTTATACGTCTTTTCAGTGTATCTGTCCATTCATAAGTTTGTGAGTTCACACCATGTCTTCAACATGTGGTGGTGGTATGAGGAAGAATTGTTTGAGGGAGGGGGGAGAACTCTGAGAACTTGAGCTGGAGTTCTGGGCAGCTTCTGTCTGTAGCTAGAAGGCCAGATCCCCCCTCATAGCTGTAGTAGGACTGATGCAGGACTGAGGAATGGGGAGGAGATAGGGTGGCGGTGGCGATTGCGAACACGTCATCATAGGAATGGAAGGTGAGAATGTGAATTTATAGGATGTTAGATTGGAAGAAGGAGGGGTTTCAGCCATGCTCCTCCCCTCAAACTTCAGTTAGAACATAACTACGTTAGATGGCAGACTCTACAGCCACTGTTCCACAGCTGTTGTTAGATGTGTGCACACTGAAAAAGTAGGGCTGTAGGTGTCTGTGGGTGAGAGAGAGCGGTTTTTATACATTTTAATGTCAACAAGGACACTTTGTTCGACACTTTGCTGTGAAGTGAGTCATAACTTGTGCGTCCTTGTCGTATGTTTCACAATGACACAGCGGTGTGAATGAAGATCACTTCTAATCTGTAGTTTTTTTGTGGTCGCTGATGTTTTCGGAGAGTCATATTGCCACTCTCACTTCGCTACAAAGGCTGCTAAAGCCTGTATACAGCACTCTTTATTATTATTGCTCGCCCACCATATCTCTGATGCTACAGAGATATAGAATGTATGTCAATTCATGTCAATTCATGACCTTTAGCTTAGGTCATGATGGCATGAAAACTTGAAGACTGTAAAGTAATACTCTTTAGCATCTGTACTGTATACATTTAAAAAAATGATTACATTGAAATTAATTGATTCAAAAGTGTACATAATTTCAGCAGATATACAAAAATATAATATGATTTTGTCTTTCAGCTTACTTACGTTTGGCAATGATTGTGTTGATATTGGTATTTTATTCATGTGGAAATGATGTACACAGTACTGCATCACTGTTTTTTGTTGTAGCTAGCTATATTTGGCTTGTTTGAGACAGATTGGCTCGGGCTCTGTTGTGAGGCGAGCAAGCGGAGGATCTCAGACATGTGGTTTCCTGTCTATTAACTCAAAGCAGAGACATCACAACCACATAACCAAGCAGTTGGCTGCACTGGGCATGCTCTGACTCAGTGTTCCCAAATGTAAATAAGGCTTAGGAGGTATACACACCACTTGTTGCATTCACAGTACCTTCTTCATGTTCTCCAAAGCTACATGTAAACATACAAAATACTACAACAGACTAACTTAACAGCTTACAGTGTCGTGCACTGAACGCAGGCTTACAGTGCTGCCTGGAAGCAGGTGTGTAAAGTGCAAAGTGTATGAGAGTGGTCATTGCTCCTCGAGGTTCAGATAGAGGAGCAGTCAGGACATGCAGGAAGTCTATGTTTATTTACTGGAACGGAGCCACGATTTACTTTTCCAGAAATGCCTGGCATTGTTTTTCACTACCATAACATTTTTGGATCTTTAACCATGTGTGGAGCGGAGCCTAAGCTTTTACATCATCCAAAAGCTGCACTCCTTAGTGCCTCAACATGAGGCGTGAGGTAATGGAAGAGTATCATTAGACAGCAAGAGCAGAATATAACAACCATAACTAAAAATCAGAACTGTAATTGAAAATGAAAGTGTAATATCTATGCTAAGGCATAAGACGTGGTAAGACTATAATGCTGCTGTCATTTTCTTTGAAGGGTCTGTGTCCTTATTTTTTTCTTTAAGGTCTGCTTATGCATTTGTGTGGTTTTATGTACCAAAAACAGTCATAATTCATTTTTACATTTGACATTTTACAACCTCTTTTTACCCCTTAGAGTTAAACAGTTTTGTTTTTTTTGTTACTGTGCCTTTAAGATTTATATGTGTGCATGACTTCTGTTTTGCTTGACTGCCCTGTGTTATACCTTCAAAAAGCAGTTCAGGCTGAAACACCCCTTATAAATTCAGTGTGAATTGGCAGTGCTAAACTCCTGTAGACTGAATAGGCAGTGTCCTATTTGTAAATGTGTTGGTTCCACAAAAACAGTGAATTCAAAAACAGGCTGTTTTTGCAGACTAGTTTACATATATTACATATATGTTTTGAAACTGTAACAGTGTTACAATGTTCAAAAAAGTGAGTAAAATCATGGTTTTCCATGATATGGGCCTTATAAAATCATATTGGTCATTTATATAACATTGCTGGCAATTAGGGCCCAGCCAATACATCTATGATATTGACATCCCACAGATTTATTGTTACTACTGAAACTCCCGCTGATTAAATAGTGATAATTAGTAGCTTGTTCTGTATTGCAGCAAACACTGCTGATGTGAGGAAAACTGTCCACTACTGAGGATTTACTAGTTTCATGTTCGTATGCTGGTCTTAAAAATAAATCAGAAATTAGAATTCTGGAAAGTTCAAGCCCCCTTGTATATTAATTACATTAATAAAGACTTCATTGGTTTCTGCTGTTTATATGTGACAATTTTGACGAATGACATCATATTTAACTATTTACAGTAATAACTGACAGTTAAATCAATTAGCAAAGCAATTTTCAATTACAACTACTAGAGTTATTTTTGACCATATTAATCTTCATTAATATTAATATCTTATAGATTATTAATATTAATATTAATATCTTATAGATTATCTACATTTTTTGCTACCTAAAGTCAGTAGCAGTATTGGTCACAAACATTTCTTATCGGTCAGGTCCTACTGGCAGTGTAATATGACATAAGAAATACTGTTCATGCTAAAAAATAGCTGAGCCCTGATTCATCATTGTTATCTTTATTAACAGCCCAGATGCATCTGGCTCTGAATTCACCTCTTAGTAATATGTCACAGATGGAAGTCACTAAAGTGAATTATGTATATTCCTGTTTTTCTCTTCGTACTGATAGCAGCGAATTGATTAGCGCTCTACCAAACATACATTCGTTTCTAATAAGTAACCCATAAAGCTTGTCAGAGAGCGTGTGTTGTGCTGTGTCAGTTACACACATTTTTCTGTTTTTGGAGTTGTAAACTTGATCGCCTCAATAGGAAGAGTGACATGTGTAATGTGGATTGCAGCAGCTCTCTGGATTTACAGCTGTTGGAAGCATCTCAGGACTTCTTCTAAAGTGGCACTCGGCACTGCTTTTATAGTCACAGTTTTACACATAACAAGTTTCACACTTGGCTTTTGCAGCTGGTTAGTGCATGTGGTTGCAGTCCCAGGCTGCAGTTGTGAAATAGCTTTTATGCTGGTAATTTTCATTATGTTTTTCCTATTTCTTCACTTTGGCTTTATTTTACTTAATTCATTTTCTCCCTTTCTCCCTTTTTTAAATCGCATCACTTTTTATCATTTTCTCACTTAGTTTTTGTCATCCTCTGTTACACAATAGCATACTGGCACCAATTTTCTCCATACTTTGCATTTTTACCTGTTTTGCGTGAGAACTGAGAAGCTATTCCTGATACCTTTGTTAGATTTCTGTACCTGCGGATCTGTAAAGGTAGTTTTACATTGCTCTCACCAACAGCATCTGCTGTACCTCTCAGTCAGGAATAGGAACTGCACAGCATGCGTCATTCTTACTAAGTGTCAGAGTCTGATCATAGAGCTGAATTGTTCATCCTCAGTTGATCTTTTATCACTGGCTATTTTGAGGAAAAGGAGAAGAAAAGCCAGCAGAAGAGTTGGGAAGTGTCTGACAGGTCTGGTCCGTACAGATTTTTCTTTTCTTCCCCCACACTATGGAATCCAGGCCTCCAATCACAGAGCAGATGCTATAAAGACATGACTGAGTCACTGCTGGCGAGAGAGAGAGAGAGAGAGAGAGAGAGAGAGAGAGAGAGAGAGAGTACTTGCTTGCAAAAAAGAGAGATAAACACATTTATGGCACTAGTCATGCTGAGAAACTCGTCATAGTTGTAACCATAACAAACAAATAACAATGACCCCACCACTCTTGTATGCATGTTACCAATCACTCTCTGGCAGAACTCCCACTCGCTCTCTCCAAACAGAAGAACAGAAAGATCTAAATGCCAGTTAGTTACACAGCAAAAAGTGATATTTTGGTATGTAAATGTGACATTATTTCAGAGCTGTCACAACTGCTTGATAAATCTTTATTAATTATTAAAATGTACCTTTTCGGTGAATCAGTAATGAAAAGCTAGTGATTTATATAATTATAATGCATATTTTAAATTTTTCTTACTGACCTTTCTTACAGTAAGAAACAGAGCATGAAAGACACACCCATGTATATGCATTTTTGCCTGTTTTGTTATTATTTATTTATTGCACATTTGTAAAATATATATTAAAATGAAGTCTTTTCAAAGGCACTTTTTACAGAATTACAGTATTTTGGACTCTTTAAATGTCTATACATGGTTTGTTATTGTTCAGTAAATTCCTTTTTAATGACTATATTTAAATACTTTAATTATTCTGTGTATCATCACAATAATCAGGAAATTACTAGATTATTATTATATTCAGTAGTGAAAGCCCTACATTATTTACACAGGTGTTTTGACGAAGCTTTGTGCTACAAATTCTGCGTAGAATTACCAGAATTTACCCAGAACCCAAAATTTGCAGCACAAAGTGCCATCAGGATGAAGAGCCATTATCAGAGCACATGGCCAAGCCTGCTTTATATCACTGTAGTCCTGAATCACAGAGAGATCACACTCTTCTCTAAGAACTGGGCAAATTTCTTCAATCTAGGATTCTAATCATTTATCTGTGTTCTATTCTTTATAGCCTGCCAGCCCTTCAGAGAGAAAGGAGACAGTTGTCTTCAGCTTGTGGGTGTGGAATCTCACGCTTATTCACATTAAAACCTAACCATATTTTAAAATGAAGGTGCTTAGCATCTGTTCATTTGTCTGCCAGTTGGTCTTCATAGTTTTCACATGAAATTATGTCTGGATGATCTTGTTTTTAATGAAAAATGAGACATTTTATCCCTTTTTCTGAATTGTGTTATTCAGAACAAGCTGAGAATGTTGAAGCAATTAGGCTCTATTTGACTAACATGTGAGTCAGTGGCTTTGGAGAACACGAGCTTCTTACAGCCTGCTAGAGAGAGCTTGGCACACATGCACGCAGGGACACACACGCTCACACATACACGCTCACACACACACACACACCTAAACCTAACCCTACTCTTAACCTCAGTATCCAAAAAGCTATTTTTCTGCTCTTTTAGTTTTTTTCCAAAAAAAAATTGTAATTTGTGGTGAAAACAAGACATGCTCGAGTGAGGACCAGCAAAATGTCCTCACTTGAGCAAAAATGTCATGTCCTGTCATTTTAAGGACATGTGGTCCTCACAAATATAATAACACAGAAACACACACACACATACACACAGTGATTTGTTTAATTGTATTTCTGGAGGAAAGAGGCTTTTATTAGTGACTGTCCTCACTAGTCATCACACTGTGGCTGGCATTCTGACTTCTATTACTAGAAAATGTGGCACAATTTTCTTAATATTTTTTGTTGTTCTAAGTGCATGTGAAGAAACCTGGACATTTCACTCTATATCTAAAGCACAAATCTGCACATTTCAGTCTGCCTTGTGGGGCTTTTTTTAATTTGAAGTTTGCTTTGTTTTGCACTCGTTTCCAGACAGCCTTGCCTTTTTATTGTCATGTTAAATGTTCCAGAGCTGGGTATCTATTTTAGAGTGTTTTATGTCTGTCTCTTAGTGATCATAGTGCTGTGTGTGTGTGTGTGTGATGGAGGAATGCAGACAGGCTAAGCTTTGCCTCCACTCTCTGCCCGATAGCTGGCAGCAGTCTGCCTCTGCTTCTAGACTCAACCTCCAGTGCTCGAAGTGCCATGCCAAACCCCAGGTTGGCAGGCAGACAGAGTGGTATGGTAAATTTCCTTGAAGGACTGAGACAGTCCCCCAGAACAGACTCTCAGTGTGCAGCGCCTTTCCTCATGACTCCTTCAGAAAGGCAAACAGGATGTGTGATTTTAGCATAGTAGTAAAGATTCTTCAGCTTAGACAGTGTCAAATAGCCAGTGACCAATTCCCATACTTGTGACTAATTCCAGTAACCAGTAATATTAGATGATATAATTTATTATGGTCAAAAATTTAACAAACTCGAAGGAGCACATTTACTAAAAGAGGTGCTAATTACTAGCAGACATTTCTACTGACATATTGTGATGGTGGGGGTGGCTAATTTAGTGGGTTGTCTGGGTTAGCAGGTTGTGTTGTGTAATTTGCCACAGCAAAAGATGGAGAGGTGTGAGGTGGGGGAGTGTGAGCACCTTCAGGTGTCTCCCCCCAACTAAAATACAGGCTTGGACGAAGCAGTAATACATTTATGAAGATTAAATGTTAACTAGAGAGACTGCATACAATTTCTTATTCACCAGAACAAACAGCACACAAACATACTGCAGACCTCAGAGACACAGAAACCCACAGAAATATATCCCTAGGTGTGAGAAATATATTCTTACTAAAAATATCATATTTTAACTGGACGGAAACTTGATAATAAGAGATAATTCCCAATCCTTCATACGAAAACCCATTTCCGTGAAGTAGGAGCAAATGATTTTACGCTTCTGATTAATTAGGTCAGAATAATGACTTATTTTCTCAAGATTTTCTCAAGATTTTAATGTGTCTGTTGATATTTTGACATAATAAGTCAGAAAATTCAGAAAATATAACATTATTTTGGTGATATTTCGAAACACATTTATTTTTCGTCTGGAGGGATGAGCTAAACTCCTGAGATCCATGCCATGCATTTGAAATACAGTAAATTCTCTTTAATTTACTGAGCGCATCCTTATTGTTTGGGAGCTGTGAGATTTTAAACTTACGGTGAGTGTAACCTCTTAGCTATGTGCAGCGTGTCAAAGGTTGTGACATTTCTGCCACAGAAGCCACAGCACTGATGATGAATTAACAATTGTACAGTGCAGTGATTGTGCAGCCAAAAGACATTTAATGTGTGCTTTTAACAATAGTTCTGAAATCAATTATCAAATCATTATTTAGGCCAAACCTGCTCTTAAGACACTTTAATGAGTGTAAAATATTCTCAAAGTATGAAATAGCAGTCTATAGCAGTTTTCCAAAAAGGTTTTGTTTTAGGTTTTTTACTTCCTTTTTCAAATTAAGAATAGTGTGACATGGCAGGCACTCACATTTTTTTTCTTTCATCAAAAATGGTTTTGTAGCCTCATAACAAACACACTGCAGCTAGAGCAATAAAGACTAAACATGTAGGTGGAGTGCTGATGAAAGTCCCTGATGACACAAATTGCAATATAGGGGATTTACTGCTGCTGAATAAGGTATCTGTGAAAACCAACCGCTGTGCTCGTTCTCCAGCTATAGGGCCAGGTACCATAGATGACCAAGTGGTGTCAGTGATTCTGGTCAGTCTGCTGCCTCTGCTGGTTTTGGCCGTCCTCGTTGTCGCCTCCTTTTACTGTTACCGCATCCAGCGGCGCCGCAAGCTCAACGAGTGGGAGACCAAAAAGCCGCTAAAGCGTAAAGGTCCCAAAGGCCCTCTGGACTGCAGCGATGCCTGCGCCATAATGATGGATGATGACCGCTCAGACAGCAGCTCCACACATGCCAACAGTCTTAACCACAACACTGAGCCACTGCCCATCGAGCTAGACCTGCAGGTAAGAGCAGGCAATGTGGAAGAAATGCAGAATTACAGTACTTAAAGACCATTTCACGAGTTGTGTAGAGATTGGACTGCATTATTTTGACCAAAAAACATTTACATTGCCTTGATTTAATAAAAGACACATATCCTACATTTTTCTTGTTTCTTTTTTTTCCCCAAACGCCCATGAACAGTCATAATTAATTTCTACATGACCATTTTCCAACCTCTCTTTATCCCTTCAGATTAAACAGGCTGTTTTTTATTACTTTGCCTTAAAGAGATATGACATATGTAAATAAGCTCTGTTCTGATTGGCTGCCCTTTTGTGACATCACAAAAACAATGAATTTAAAACTGGCTGTTTTTTGCAGTTTAGTTTCTGTGTAAAGACTGGGCAATGTATAGTACATTACTATTTTATTTATATGATATTGGCCCTTTAAAACACATCTGAAATATCCGAGATTGGTTGAAATGCTCATTGTTTTCAGTGAAAGATCAGACGGCTCATTTACTTTTTGCAGGCTTCTGCAATATCTGAATTACTATTGTGATAATGATTAAGAATTGCTATATTGCGCAGCACTGATAGAATATAAAGCATATTTTGCCCTAATTTATTATGGAAACTATAACATATCTTCTTGTTGTCCACCCTTACCAGGTGGGCAAGGGCCGCTTCGCCGAGGTCTACAAAGCTAAGCTGAAGCAGAGCTCCTCAGAGCAGTTTGAGACAGTGGCGGTGAAGATCTTCCCCTATGAGGAGTACGCTTCCTGGAAGAATGAGAAGGACATCTTCTCTGACATTGACCTGAAGCATGAGAATGTGCTGCACTTCCTGACGGCAGAGGAGAGGAAGGTGGAGAAGCAGTACTGGCTGATTACGGCTTACCATCCACGCGGGAACCTGCAGGAGTACCTAACTCGCCACGTCATCAGCTGGGAGGACCTGCGGCTGCTGGGCGGCTCGCTGGTCCGGGGCGTGGCCCACCTCCACAGTGACCACACGCCCTGCGGCAGGCCAAAAGTGCCCATCGTGCACAGAGACCTCAAGAGCTCCAACATTCTGGTGAAGAACGACCTCACCTGCTGCCTGTGTGACTTTGGGCTGGGCCTGCGGCTGGACAACTCCCTGTCTGTGGACGACCTGGCCAACAGTGGACAGGCAAGTTTGTATTTATGCTACAGTGGCATGATATGGACAAAATACCGTTTTGCAGTTAGATTTCTACATATTCCAGTATGAACACATCAAAAGCACACATGTAAATCCTAGATTCAAAGATAAATGTCAGCCTGCTTATTTTGACCATGATGAATCCTTTGATTCATCAAAAACATAAAAAATACGAAAACTCACTAAATAAAATCTTTATGATTTGCTAAGTGGCTCATGCCTTTTGCATATTGCTGCATTGTGCGATATTTGTGGTATTGCAAAAGCCAATATTGCAAAGGCAATTAACAACTACAATATTGCAAAAACAATTAACAAAATATCTACAAACAAGTCTTTAAGACACCCTAATGGTAAGCCTGCTAGGTTTAATTTTATTGCCATATTAAGCCTTCTGCTATTAATAAGCTTTATGATGTATTAGGTCTAGGAATTTAAGGTGTTAAGTTCCTTGTCATGACAAAACTTTCCTGTAATTGTTTGAATTAATTCCCTTGCATAAGTAAATATGTGAAAAAGTTTATTGTCTTGTAGCTAGGCCTGTCACAATTATTCCACAAACATCTGACTGCATTGTTTGACCTGATGGCACATATTTTCCACAGTTGTTAGCTTTTAAAATCATATGTTTACTTCATAACAAACAGAATGTGACTTTCATCAGTTTAACTGAGACAAATGCATGTAAATAAAAGAAAGGAGAAAATGCATTTATAGAAACACATCAGACAAACAACAAAAGTGCCGACTTCTGATTGGTGCTTTAACACATTTAGAAGTCAGTGAGTATTGTTTGTTTATTTGATTTTTTTCAATAACTCCTTTAAAGGGCAGTAGTGAGTAATGTTTGTTAATTTAAGCTCCAACTGTTTCTCTCATCAGTTGGGAGCTACTAAGTATTGACAGCTAGGAAACAAGACAGCTAATCAGCCAATTTGGCTTTGCGCTTGTACTTTAATACTTTAATGAAACATTTTTTAACAATTAAATTGTTAATCGCAATTTTTCATATGGCGCTTAATCGTCATTTTTAGTTTTACAATTGTGACGTGTTTAAGTTCAACTACATTTGCTTGTCTGTAGGAACACATACACAACTGGAATAAATGTGCTGTGGCTGCATTCCAAAATTGCTACTAGACATTCTCTGTGGACTTGTTCTCTCACACCTTGTGTGCATTTTGTGCAACTTTCTCACACATTCTCTCTCCTTGTGCGTGTGATGGTGCGTGTGATGTTCTTGTGCGTTTCCTAGCTAAAGCCGATCTGATTGCTGACGGTGTCAATGTGAGAGTTAGGGCAGGGCTGTGTTTTTACTTGCAGGGAAAGTCCCCTCGGGCATCTTTTAGTCTCAATGCGCGTGTGACCTTTGTTCTTTGTGTTTGCGCTGATTTATGATTCACAGGCTGAAAATGCAAAGACACAAGGTGTTGAGTGAATGAGTAAGCAACTAAATAAAACCCACTCGGCTTTCTCTGAAGCTCTTGTAATCGTAAAACATCTCTTGCCGCACTCAGTATTCATTAAAATACCCTCTCGTTTATGATGAAGTTTAGTTTTGGACTTTCAAATGGATATCACAATGTTGAATACACAAAGCTGCTGGCCCCATCTGAACACTTACTAAAGCAGTGTGGCAAACAAATGTTATAAGAGCAAAACAAAGAACTGGGACTGTAAGTGCTTAGTGATAAGATGTCTCCAGGCTGGAGATGGAAGTCTCTGTATCTTCCTTGCGATAACTTTTTTGAAGTCCAAGAGCCAGATCAAAGCCAAAGCAGAGTTTAGACTACAGAGGGAAGGAATTGTAATGACATGTGTTTTTTTTTCTCCTCATTGAAGGTTGGAACAGCCAGGTATATGGCTCCAGAGGTGCTGGAGTCAAGAATCAACCTTGAGAACATTGAATCCTTCAAGCAGACGGATGTGTACTCCATGGCCTTAGTGCTGTGGGAGATCACCTCCAGGTGTAACGCCATTGGAGGTGAGTTCACTGTTTGACAACAGAGTAGCAAGACAGCACCTAACACATAGTGCTATTTGTGGCATTGTGTAGAGAAACCCTGTGTGAACATAGTTCTATGTCAACATCCCTAACAACTCAAAAGAATGCAGTTCTATTTTCATGGAGTCAGTCATTGGCTCTCAAGGAGAGAGCGAATAGAAATAGGTTAGCTATTGCTCCCATTAGGCTGTGGCATTTTGTTTTGCCACTGCTACCAGGCTATTGTCTCAGCATTGTGCACAGTAAACCCGATGTAACCCATACACGGGTTCAACCGATTTGCTGTTTCCTGTTATTCTGAGGCCTCTCCACATCACCCTGAAGTAGAACAGAAGTGGTTCTGTAGCCGTGCTGTTTGCTCCTCTGCTGGAATGTGAGGAATGTGTAGAATGTGAAATGGACCATCAGATTTCTTGTCCTTCTTTGGTCAGGTGGGAAAAAAAGACGCCTCTAGGTTTCTTCGAAGTCTGTGTGTGCTCATGTTTACACAGGCACGTATGTATGTGATCTTCTGAAAAAGAACAATTGCAGTTACCAGCTAGCTTCTACTGCCGCATGATGAAAAATTATTTGTAGAAAAAAAAGGTGCTAAATTGAATTCTTTGGTGTGATGCCATAGAAAATCCAGTTTTGAGTCCTCATAACATCCCACATAATTTAAAGTTTATAGAACCTCCACATAATGCAATTTGGATATAATATAATATACTTGATAATTATGATTTTTTAAACAAGAAAATACTGTCACCCAGGAACCTTTATTTTAGGGGCTGTAGCTACATAAACAGGAGTGGTTAGATCTTTTGTGAGCTCTGTAAGTTGTTAAGACTCCTTGATTATTCAAGCTATGCTCCCTGTGGAAGTCAGTAGCTCCCATGAGCTCAGTTGGCATTCAGGCGCCCAGGTCACAGGGCAGTGCTTCTGTGTTGGTGTTAGCTATTTTAATGGGCCCGGTGCATGCCGTTGTGCATGTATGTGTTCTGTTAAGCATACTGTCCCAGTGTCGGGTTTGTGTTACCCACATGCCCCAGCATGCTCCCGGTGTGATTGAGAGGGGCGGCAGGAGCCTTGCTGCTCCGCTGCAATGGGCTTATCTGCAGAGCTCGAGACATTTCCAGCCAGACGCACTGTCACATTCCAGCACCACTCACAGCACCAGTGTGTGGGGTATCAAGAGAAGCCACCCAGAGTTTGGCTCTCTGTATGGAGTTAGTTTTAATCAGGCCTGAAAATTTGAATTAAAACCTGAATATAGCCAGAGAGCACTACTTGAATCTAAGTGTTATTACTAGGCATGTACTAATATGGGAGTCGTGTGCCAACATCTAATCTTTTTCTTTTACATGTCTGCCAATGCTGATGCATAAACATTTATAAAATGTAAAACTGGGTCTGCGTCTACCTCGATTAGCATGAGGAATTATAGCATGTATTAATATAGGGCTACAGATGCAGTAAAATGACGAGAATTCAGACATTATAGTAACTCAGCGTTAAACTTTCTGCTTTTCCAAAAAAATAATAAACTCATCATCATATGAGCTCCTACAACAAATCATATATTTACCATTCCACCCTTTTTTGGCAAAAAAAAGATTTTTCCCCCCACAAAACAAAACCGTATGCACAACAATAATTTTTCATCAGTGCAAATCATAATAAAACATCTCTAAACACAAACATGGTATTGATTGAAAGTTTTGAATCACATATGACGTATTCACCAATCACATCAAATTAAATTACATCATGCTTTTGGCATCACTAGACATGCGCTGATGTTAAAAATTAATATGATAATTACCTAACCTTTTGTCATGTTTTATGATACTATCCTGATAAAGTATTAAGAAAAAAACAGTTCACTATAAGACAGTAGTGTTCTGATGAGTGTGATGTATTAATGTATGTAATGTGTGATGTATTAATCACAATAACATATTAGCGAATGAATAATGTATTCATTTTGAAGATTTCTGTCTTTGAAAAAAATGTCCCTGGTGGCACTTTGTATAATTGAACAGATTCTGGAATCCTAATTTTGGACAGTCTTAAAGGGCATCATGTTTTTGGTTTCCTGTGGAGTTTTTGAGGGGCCAGGTTGAAGACCCTTAGTACTCTAATAACGTATTCAAACAGCTGTACAAGCATTAAATATAATAGGATCACAATACAACAGCGTACTGGGCGCTTGTGAAACCAGAGATACTCTGAATATCTAAAAATCTCTGCTGAAACTGCAACTTGTTTGACTAAAATGCAGTGACGTTATTTCAAAGTGCCCATGTTAATAATATTGTGTGTGTTGAATATATACACACGTGCTATACCTTAATTATTGAATATCAGCACATGTCTCTGTGTCAGTGGTGGTAAATGTCAGTGGTGACTTCTAAGGGTTAACTGAAGTGGGAGTAACTGCAGGCCAAAATCTGTTAAAGTTAGCCAACGGTCTCTGAGAAATCCAAATGTGAAATCTGAACCTGACCTGAACTCAAGACATATTTGAAAATAGTGTGCGAACAAGACCAAACCCCAACACAGAGAGTTGGATCTTGTTGTATTCAGACACATTCTTTAAGCTCCAGTCTTGGAGCACCAGAGCTCACAGGCCGTTCCTGCCCGGAGACAGCACGGGCCCTTGAGGGAGTGATGGAAACCTGCGGCCGGTTTGTTGTGCTCTGGCTCGCAGTGTTGTTGTTAGCATGTCCTGAATTAGCATGGGGCGCGGCCCTGGCTGGAACAGAGTAAAGCAGTGTGGAGAGCTGAGAGGCAGCCAGCCTAAGAAACACCCCACTGCTCCCCTCCGCAGAGAGGTGGGAGGGGGGCATAGCAGCTGTGTGGCAGGTGGCAGCACCCCATACGGCCAGGCCATCCATCACTACAGGTTTCAGATTCACTGCAGTGCTGACCAGGCTTCTCTCTCACACACAAACACACACAAACACACTCACTCACATAGCTCTGTGTGCTTGATTTCATGCCAAATAGTCTTTCAAAACCCCTAGAAGTTCCCCCTTTTCTGCAACAGTGTTGCTGCCCTTTTCTTCTTCGTCTTCTCTTCACTAGATCAGGAATCCTACTGCTGGCAAGCTGCTGTGCTCTCAGATCGATATAACCCTTAAATCCTTAAGTCGCAGTTTTCGATGGCTTTAATGAAAGCATGATTTGTGTTTATAAAAAAGAAGAAGAGATGATTAATTATGTTGCGTGTAACGTCTTGGTTTGTAAAAAAAATTACATTTCTGCCACATTTTTATGATTTCTTGATATTAATACATATGAAAAAAACATCTTTCAAAATCAAATTTGAAATCAAATGAAAATTGAATTCATTATGTAGTTAATGAAGTAGTTAATTATATAACTTACTAATTCAATTTAAATAGTGTGTCAAAAGAACAATAATTACTGTAGACTGCTAAGGGGTACTGAGGACTGGCTGGATTTATCCTTTTAAAGCAAACACAAAAAGTGGCTGTTTCCGCCGTTTATATGCTCTTCTCCGTTAATCACGTTTTTTAATGCTTTTGTAGCATTTGTTTTAAATGTAAATAACATGATTTTTAAAAAAAAATAATTTTTATTTAGTTTGTGTCACAAACTACATTTTTGAACAAGAAAATGCATGAATAGGAATATCAGTCACATCCGTCCTGTTACATAGCCACTCTGATTAAAAAAACAATAAGAAGCACTTACTGATCCGAACTGCATTCTGAATGAGTTCATTACTCAGACAATATCACAGTGCGTCTAATCATAAAAAAAGCCTTGTGCATCTTTTTATATGGTGATAGAAAACATAAAAGCTCATAACAAAGCAATTCTACATGCTGATACATTTAGCTATGTGCAGGATGAATATGCACACGCTGTAACTCCTCTAGCGCCATCACCAAAATCTCAGAATGGATCGGTGATGAGACTCTCAGAGTTAAAGCATGGTGCCTGCAGTGAGACACTCAGTACAGTAGAGTTAAAGCATGGTGCCTGCAGTGAGAGGCTCAGTTCAGTAGAGTTAAAGCATGGTGCCTGCAGTGAGACACTCAGTACAGTAGAGTTAAAGCATGGTGCCTGCAGTGAGACACTCAGCTCAGTAGAATTAAAGCATGGTGCCTGCAGTGAGACACTCAGTACAGTAGAGTTAAAGCATGGTGCCTGCAGTGAGACACTCAGTACAGTAGAGTTAAAGCACGGTGCCTGCAGTGAGACACTCAGTACCGTAGAGTTAAAGCATGGTGCCTGCAGTGAGAGGCTCAGTTCAGTAGAATTAAAGCATGGTGCCTGCAGTGAGACACTCAGCTCAGCAGAATTAAAGCATGGTGCCTGCAGTGAGAGGCTCAGTTCAGTAGAATTAAAGCACGGTGCCTGCAGTGAGACACTCAGCTCAGCAGAATTAAAGCATGGTGCCTGCAGTGAGACACTCAGCTCAGTAGAGTTAAAGCATGGCGCCTGCAGTGAGACACTCAGCTCAGCAGAGTTAAAGCATGGTGCCTGCAGTGAGACACTCAGCTCAGTAGAGTTAAAGCATGGTGCCTGCAGTGAGACACTCAGCTCAGCAGAGTTAAAGCATGGAGTCTGCAGCGAGAGTCTCAGTTCAGTAGAGTTAAACATGGTGACTGCAGTGAGACACTCAGTTCAGTATTAGGGATTAGGAAATTGGCAGAATTGGCAGATTTAGTTCAAAACACAAAATTGGCAATTGGCCAGTGTTTTTGTTTTGGCACAAATCAGAATTGGAATCAGCCATAAAAAATCATGATTGGTGCATCCCTAGTATTACAATTCGGAAAGGACAGCAAAAGTAACCCTGGTCTTCTAAGGATTCCCAGACGAGGAGTCAGACAGGCAAGCCTGTGGAGGTTTCAGACGGATAATCTGAAAGGAAAAAGGTTGTTAAAAAGCTTCCCCCAGCTCACTCTGCCAGAGCGGCCCGGCTGGGCCCGGAGAGGGAGGCCTCAGTCCGTGGGACATCTGTTCCCGAAACCACGGCATTCCTCACATAGCGAGCACACTCGCATCACTTAGGCCACAGCCTCTGGCGTGGGGGAGATGGAGAAAGAGAGACAGTGGAGGGAGAGTGAGGAAGTTTTGTTTCTTCACTAGAGCTTCATGTTGCACCTTGAGTCACTGCAGCATTCGCAGATCACAGTAAAGTTATCTCCTGCCACACTGTGTGGCGAGCTGTTCACCAGGTAGTTGTTCAGATGCTTCCTTGTTACCTTATCCAATTTAATACCCACAGCAGAACAGGACAGCAGAAATAGCACGTGTAGTGGGAGTATTTTGTTTTAGCACGGAAACAGGGGAAGTCCACTTGTCAAAAACAGGATGCATCCGCTTGTGGAGTCAGCTTCTCTGCAGGGGCCCAATCACAGCCCTGCTCTTCCTGTCCTAGACTCCATGCTGGCCTAGCCTCTTCCTGTGGGCCTGCAGCGTCGGGCAGAACCACATACCACACTCTGTCCTGAACACGCGCTCCAAAGTAAACGCACTCTTCTACTTAGATTTGTGGGAATGGGTTTTATGTTGGCCTGCACTGCAATAGCACACATGTTCAAGTGTTCCATTATATCCTTCTGCTTTGTTGCAGATTTTTCTGTTTTTAATTCAGTCTAGCACCCTGCGTGTGCTGTTATTTACTTGCAGTCTTCTATGCTTGTGGGGGAACTGGAGAGAGTTATAGGAAAGGGTCTTTGCAGCTGTTTTGAGCTCCATTTCACAGGGTTTTGGAAATTAGTCCTGGAACACTGTTGGTTCGTGCTCTCTTGGCACAGTCCAGCGATTAGCCCATATTTCCCCCAATTTGTTTTCATAAGAAAAACAAACAACATGCCATCATAACTTCTCATTATTGTTATTATGGTTGGCTCTCTGCTGGGTAAACTGATCTCTCCGGTGTTGTTTTGTGTTTGTTGTTTGGTTACCCATGTAAGGAGAGGTGCCAGAGCAAACCAAACAGTATTTCCGAAGGAGAGCTCCTTTTAACTGCACCATTTCCCAAACCTCAGCATTTCTACTCACTTCTACTTACAGAGCCAGACGTCTCTTAAAAAAGATTTTTTTCCCATTACACTGTAAGGGATTAATTGTGTGTGTGTCTGTGTGTGTGTTACAGAGGTGAAAGACTATGAACCTCCATTTGGCTCTAAAGTGCGAGAGCACCCCTGTGTGGAGAGCATGAAGGACAACGTGCTCCGAGACAGAGGCCGGCCCGAAATCCCCAACAGCTGGACAAAACACCCGGTAAGAGAGCAGGGCTACATGCCATTTGCAGCACACTAGAGTTCACTCATGGCACCATAGCCTCGTACTGTAGTAGCAGTCTTTCTGAGAGCAACTAATGCCCTCATCTCAACTGGTGATTACTGGAAAACAAGATTAAGTATACTGTAGGGATTATAATCTGTCCTCAGTGGCTCATACTAGAAGTTAGAGAATTACTGGAAAGCAGGTAATGAGGTTTAATGTCTGGGTGCACTACAGTGGTTTTAGTCTAACGTGCTGATTGGTATCTTTTACCCAGAAAAACATGCAAAAGACGTATGCAACAACGCATCACAGGATGTTCATAAACCAGATAAAAAGCCAGATATTTCTGCCTGTTATGAAGCTACTACAAGTTCTACAAAACAAGTTAATCAGAATGAAATTGAACTGCAAGTATGTAGATTCATTCACTTTATTGCACTGTACAGGCCTCTGCTATGAATTCTCCTATTAAGATGTCATTGTAGGACTCCAAGCTATGCATGGTCACCTAGCTCCCTTATTGCCCACTAGGAAGTTTAGTGCCTTTATTTAGCATTCTTTTTAAATGTTTTTGCCGTTGCTTTTCATTTAAGTAAGGAAAAAGTACCTGCAATAGCTTTTGTTAAAGGGGAATTCCACTGGTTGAGTTGTAAACTAAGATGTAAACTGAGATGTAAACAATGTATTCAATTGGTTTGTTGTGAAATGGTTCATTGTAGAGAAACTTACCAACTCAGAAAAACCCATTTTACAGAAAATATAGCAAAAATATAACCATTTTATTTAGTGAACCTACACATGAACCTACAGTTTTTATATGTAATGATGATGATGGTAAAATAGTGGTCAATCCGAAAGTTTTCTCTGGGGATTATTTTGCCTTACAACACTCTTCTTGTATCCGCCACCATGAATTGATTAAAATATCTTTTAGACCAAAATTTTTATCACAAAACTACAGTGAAACAATGTCTTCATAGCAGTGTATTTATAACCGTTGCATGTAATAACTTTCTGCGAAGGAGCTTTTAGAGGCATTACTCTCTTCAGACGTCTGGCTCCTATGACCACCACTGTGGACAGTTCTGACTTTCCCTAGAACAGAGCATTTCACACCAAACCACTCTGGATGATTTTGTTGACACATTAACCATTAGCCATTGAATTATGCTGAGATTTGAAAAAAACAGTGGAGTTCTCCTTTAACATTACATAGGTATTCACTAGCAGTTTGGATATACTCTGCAATGCTCAGCTGCATGTTTGTCAAAGTGTCTTTCTCAGTATCAAAGGCAGGCTTTGCTTAAGCAATGATTTGACAGTTTTCTTTTGCCAACTGCCATTAAAAGCACATATTGAAAATTGTTTGGCTGGTTTAAATACCTGAAAGATTTGTGGTCTGATGAGTGCTGACATGAAATGTATGCGGTATGTCAGGAAATGCTGTCACAAATATAATATTTACATTTTGACACGTCCTAAGTTATTGTAAACCACCATAGAAACCAACTCCTTTATATTAACGACAGTTTGAAGAGCTAGGTGTCTGCCAACCTTTGGCAAGCAGTGTACCAGAAGTTCCAGAAGACATAAACAGGGGTGAAATTTAAATAGTAATTGTGTATAATTATTCAGCATTCACTGAATTGGCTGTTGTTTAGTACTGTTACGATTAATCGATTGAATTTGATTACTCCAATTTGAAACAGCATTAGTTAAAATGTGGCTTCTAGATGAATCAGCAATAATTAGTTGACATCTTGTATATTGAAAATTCTCTTACTGGTCTCTGTTACAGTAGGAAACAGAGCCTGATACACACATCCATTTATATGTGTTTTTTGTTTAACAAATGTTTTTATACGTTTTAGTGAAGTCTTTTTAAAGACTTCCTACTTTAGATAGATAGTATATGTTCTACATTGTTATTATATGTATATTTTTTGTACATTTGTATTGTTTGGCCTTTTTAAAAACTTTTAATTGGTTACTAAAATTACTAAAATAGTCGATATTGACAGCCCAACTGCTCTACACACCTTTTCATTGCAAGACAGCTGGGTGTATCTCCTACAAAGTACAAACAGACCCCTTAGGGAAATTGTATGTGCTTCACATTTACACCCACTAGTCCTCCCTCATTCCTCACACTGACGCGAATGGTTTTAGCCCCAATGTAGATTATAAATTAATACATATTTGTTGTCTGAAGTTTGTTTCTTTCATTTTCATTGGAACTATGAAGAGATATAATATAAGTCTGTGTCACCCAAAATCTTTTAAAATTCCTTTCATTTTTAATGGTAATCGACAATGTGTTGGGAAAACTGTGTGAATTTAGTTTTCATTTGATTTGATTGAGGCAGGAATACCCACTGAACAGACATGTGAAGCTCTCTGTCTCACTCTCTCCCTCCTCTCTCTTTCTCTGTGTCCTGCAGGGTGTGGCCCTGGTGTGTGCCACCATCAACGAGTGCTGGGATCATGACCCTGAGGCCCGTCTTACGGCGCAGTGTGTGGCCGAGCGCTTCAGGGAGATGGACGATGAGCTGGACAAGCTGTCCACCCGCAGCAGCTCCGCAGAGAAGATTCCAGAAGACTGCTCCGTGAGCGTAAGCGATGACAAGTGAGAGAGAGAGATAGAGCCCAATTATGGCCTCTTCTGGACTGTTTTGTCTGCCTCTCCGACTGGTGGACGAGTGCATTTATTTGTGCTCAGCTCATGTGATTCCCAAAGAGAAGTCTCTGCCTCCGAGCAGTGGAAACTGGAAGTGTAGATACATTCAGTATGTTACAGCTGATGTGTTTGCGTGTGTGTGTGTGTGTGTGTGTGTGTGTGTGTGTGTGGATTAGAGGCCTCAGGGTGAAGGCCATGGGGAAATGAAGTACCTAAAGCTTTTCATGTGTCTCATAACCAAAGAGTTAATGCACTTTATCAGATTACCTATGCATAGCTGGTGTTTCTAATGCCAAGGATTTATATGGACTTTTCCACCTGAGCAGGTATTCACAAGAGATTATATGACATGTACAGATCAATTCAGCACTGTTTTTATGAAAAACTATGTGTATGTGTGCGTGCATGTGTGGATGCATGTAATCATGTTTGTCTGAGTCAGTATGAATAAGTGGTGTGTGTTTGATATTGTTTTAACAAAGACTTTTTATGGGTATGCCAGAAAGAATAAGCACATTGTAAATACTGGTTTTAAGTAAAAAAAAACAGTACTACCATTGTAAAAGCCAAAAAAGGGAAAATAACCCTGCATGTATTATCATGTGTAAAAGACAGTATTTTGGTAAAGCATTTCCAAAGATGTAATATTATACATGTTCAGGAAAACAAAAGCAAATTGTGCCTTTTTTGTATGTTTTTGTATGTAATATATTGTAAATCTTTTATGATTAAATACATTTATGTACAGTGTTTACTCTAATATTGGTTGTATGTGTTTCATTCCTGGGGTATTTCATGCATTTCATGAGGTCTCTTTATTGTCCCTTTTCTACGTTCCTCTGAAAAGTACAGTACAGTGCAAAAGCCAGTGACCACCCATCACTTACTTAATTTCAAGACAAAATGGCCATTAAGAGCAAGCGATTCATTTTTCATGTTTAAAAAATATATTTAACAGAAAATCACATAGAAGCCTCAAGAACTAATTACAGTGTTAGTTTTTAGTAGTTAGTGTGCCCGTTATTTGCTTTCATTGTTTTTGGGAGTTTTTCTTCCAGTTTTTCTAAGAAATCTTCAGGATTTTTTTTTTTTCATTTCTCCAAAGTTCAGTCTTAGAAGTTGGTTACAATTTCTGCTTTCCACAGTCCAAATGATTCCAAACACATTCAGTGATGTTGAGGTCTGGGCTCTGGGGTGGACAGCCCACTGTTCTGAAAACGATCCATTGTCTGTTCACTTTTTTCAGCAATAGGTTCTACACAGCTGCACATCCTTTCAGACTCATAGTGTTAAGTTGTCTTCTCACAGTGGAAAGATGGACCTGTGGATTTTTTAGATCTGAAGTGAGAGTGGAGCTTGATTTTCTCCTCTCTCTAAAAGATAAAAGCTTTAAGTACTGTTTATCTGATGGTGATAGTTTTGGTGGTCTGCCAGGTCTTGCAAGGTTGTTATTGATTCCATGTTTTCTATATCTTTCAACAAATTTTTGACCTCCGGTTTTGGAAATTGTAGTGTTTTTTACTTATTTTTCTTTGACTTTCCTCTTCCTTTTGCAAATTGATTTCATATCTAATATCTAATATAGTGGGTAATCCCCTCAGAAACATCTCCTGAGACATGAATAACTTGTACTTAATGGCCATTTTGAGAGGAAATAAATAAAGGGCGGTCTCTGACTTTTGCGCTGTGCTAGAAGTTGTAGATAAATGTAGATAATATCTAGTTGTTACTGCCACAACCATTTTACTATCCATATCCATATCGGCTTTACTTTCACTCTCAGCCTGGCAAATTTGTTACATTTTTGTTCCATCTTTAAAATGACTGACAGTTATTAATGACTAGTTGCAACAGAGTGCTCTGTTCCTGAAGGCCCTGATGAGTCTCACAGAGCATTCCATTCTTGAGTAGTCAGTGACTTCAGGCATGAATAATAGACAGTACTTTGTTTTTGTAGCATGTTCTCACACACTATGTTCTGGGAAACAAACCTGTTAACAGAATGTCAGACTTGCTGACATCTTGTGGCTAACAGACACTGACATTTAACAGATATGTCAAAGTTTCAATGTACAGACTGTCATAAACAGAGCCAGTACATCACACATGGAATAGTAGTGCAGTTGCAGAACTATCAGCTGTGCACACTGGGGCCTGTAGTGTGGGGGTCCTGTGGTAACTGGGCCCACTGAAAGCCTTACCAGAGCATTTATAATGATACCTACTCTCATGACTCATAGGAAGCTTTGTTAATATAGCTTATATAATTAATTTTATTAAATAATATTATTTGTCAAAGACATATTTTTGTGTGGTAGGCCTATAAGATCCTACACAATATGTCCAAAAGTTTGTAGACACCAGCTCATCTGATGTTTCTTGCAGAATCAAGGGTATTATTTATTAGCTGTTGTAAGAGCCACTACTCTTTTGGGAAGACTATACTAGATGTTGGGAAACACTAGGCTGATGTGTGCCTGCTCCACAGCGCCCCTTTTGATTGGCAGTGCTTTTCTATGGAGATTAAATGAGCACAACTGAATACCTGTGTCAGTACTGGGTGCACCTTAAAAGTTGCTAAAAATTCACTGATTAAAAGGGGTGTCTGGATACTTTGGAACATGTGGTGTATCTAAGCCACTATAGCAATGTGCAATAATTAGAAAGCTCTCTCTGGTCCATTCTGAGGTGGAGGGAGGCAGCACTGGCTGCTTTTTCGAAATTGGGTCCCACAAGGGCAGAAGTAAGTGCGCTCAGTAGCAGAGAAGGGCAGAGGGCAGATGGTCATCTAATTGAGCAGAATAACCTCTGCTTTAGAGCGCGTCTCCTGAGGCGTGAGTCTGTTTGGAGAGAGCTTTCATCTTGGATGCAGGAGCAGTTAGCCAGGGCTTTGTTGCAAACTGCGGATCAGACTTAGCATCCAGCACACACTCCACAACCATAATGTCAGCCTGGCTCCCTCAGACAGACCCTGCTTTGACTCTTTAGAAAAGCTAACGGTTCAGCGCTCCTCTCTGCCTCCTCCACCCGGCCACCATTGTTCCTCTACTACACTATTTCAGGTCTAAACCACTGCATTTTTGTCTGAGGGGGGGAGCAGCCATGGGTAAACTTGCATCTGTAAATAGCTCTGTCTGTGGAGCTGAGCTCAGAATAGCCTTCATGGGCCTGGAGTGAGTCTGGCATTTCTACATGGTGCTGATGCTGTTCTAAAGTGGACGAGGCTGACCAGAACAAAGCACTCCATCTCTGCATTTCTCCATTGGGTGGAGAGCAAGAAATATTGCACATTTTACTTAACCACAATGGGTACAGGGAAAATGCAGACAACTCAATAATTTTATTATGGAAAGAAAAACATTTAGCTCAGAAAGATAAAGCTGGCTCCTAATTCAGTGTGGACAGTTGAAAAATGCACATATTTAACAGATTGAAGTTACATGAATCATGTCAGAAACATGAATCATGTCAGCAACATGCTTTGGATATCAAATCCGCATGGGGGGCATTACAGTGCAGTAACATGCTTTGGATATCAATTCCGCATGGGGGGGGCAGTACAGTAAACATTATAAAGCCAATCACTGGGAACTAGCTTGGCTTTTCAAGCCAAAAACTGCTAATTAATTGGCTGAATATTACTACTTTATTAAGCAGTAACTAGGGTGAATTAAGCATGTTCCAGAGCACTTTTATTTGTGCACTACACATCATTATCTTGTGCACAAACCTTACTTAAGCACTGGACCTATAGTGTGCTTTCTTGTCATTTGATTCTTGTTAATACCTCAATAATAAATCACCATTAGGCTCTAAATACAGACAAACTGATCTTGTCTTATTCTAAAGTGAAGATTTCTCATCAACATCTACTAAGAAGGTGTTAACTTCTGTTATAGGCTGTATTTGAACATGAGGTCTGCATGAACTTGAGTAGCATTGCTTCTAGTAAATGTGTAACCTCATTTCATCAGATTGTCTTACTAATGCATGAATATATCCACCTTAAATCAGCAAATTATGTGCAAAATATTATGATACACAATATACAAATAAAAGACTCATTGCTCACTCAGTGCATAATAAAGTAATAATGAGCAGCCAGCAGCTACTGGCTTGATAAGGCATTATAAGAACATTACAAGGACTATTAGAATGTTCCTCTGTATACAAATATTACCCATGCTTCATATATGGACAACAACTAAACCCATCATAGAGTATTTAGAGCTTTTATCCATTGATCCAACCACCAAATTCTAATGATACAGGCTGTTTCATGCTAATGGATATTATCTGATGTAAATATCACTGTAATATCCAATTCAGGAGGGAGATTACTGTTTAAGACTGAGACTAAGACTGAACAATTCAGAAATGTCACTGCACGATCTGAAGGCATTACACAACACAGCTGAGCTCTGTGTTTAGAGCTTTATTTCAAGAGCATACTGTCCACATAAATGTAGGCCACCTTCCAGGCTGTATTCACGTCTTCCCCCCAGCATGTTGATTTTGTCCAACAGAGAGTCTGCCTCCTGCAGGATGACCTGAGGCCTGATGATGAAGAAGTTGGCTGTGCCTCATTGTGGCTGGTGGCTCAACACAATGGAGCTGTGTTTCCTCACATCCTCTTTGATCAGGAGCACTGCCTGGGTGCACAACGTTCAAACAGATAAGACAGATAAAAGAGAGATACTACAAGGAGGAACCATGGAGCATTCTGCTGTTTCTGCAGCAGTCTGTGGCGGGTCTACACAAATACATGAAAGCATGCACACACATACATACACACACACAAACACACATACATTATTTTTGGTCCTCGTTTTAGATTTTACTGCTCTGGGCCAACTTTCTCCTTCCAAAACAGTCTGTGTTGTTCCACAGTGAGTAGTACTCTGTGGAGAGCACTACAGGCACCACTCGCTAACCAAACTTTCCTTCTGCCAGACTCAGGCACTAAACATAACCTTTGTTCTTTGCAGCTCAGGGACGTGGTCAGGCTTTATTCCAGCCATTTGCACATCTTTACACAAGTTCGCTCGTAGACATGCCTCTCCATAATTACTATGGTTATTTCAAGTAGTTAGAAAAACAGGTCAGTCCACTGGCAGACTGCCCCCTGTTGGTCACAGTTTTGTCAAATCAAGGCAATCTGCAGGTGGTCTTTATCCTTTAGGGCTGTCAAGCTCTATCACATTAGAAATAAAGTAACCTACCAATAATTTTGATAATGAATTAAAAGGTTTTTTTTAAAGGCCAGACAGTAAAAATAGACTTAACTGAATAGTATCAAACAAAGTCTTGCATGCACAGTATTTCAAAGATTTTAAAAATGTTAAAGCCTTTAAAAAACACAAATCCATTTGCTTAAGGAAGGGGAAAGTCAAAGACATAAATAAAAAATACAATGGAGTTGTGGAAAGATATATTATCATTGTATATTCAGGCTACAGCAAAGGAGAAAAAGACAATATTTCATTCCTCTCTCACTAATGCAATGAACTTCGATGGCTGAGTGTAGTCATGGCTGGGTGTGGTCATTCCTTTCAATGAATTTTAATGAAGCCTTGTTGTGGTTT